CAACAACTAATCTGCTTTCTGTCTCAATGGATTTGCTTATTTAGAGCAGTTCATATAAAAGGAATCATACAATATGTAGTCGTTTATAACTGGCTTTTTTCGCACTTGGCAAAATGTTGCAAGGTGGGTGGGTGTATGCTGTAATATGTATCAGCACTTTAATCCTTTTCATGACTAAGTAATATTTTAGTGCAGGGATATGCCACATATTATTTATCCACTTATCCGTTGATGGACATTTGTGTTGTTTCTAACATTTGGCTGTTAGGAATAATCCTACAATGAACACTCATGTATAAGTGTTTGTGTGGACATATGTTTTCATTTCTCTTGCATATATGCCTAAGAGTAGAAGTTTTTTGAACATATGATAACTCTATGTCTTGGGTTTTTGTTTTGTTGAGACAGGGTCTTACTTTGTTGTCCAGGCTAGAGTGCAGTGGTATGAACAGGACTCACTGCAGCCTTGACCTCCTGGGCTCAAGTGATCCTCCTGCCTCAGCCTCCCATGTAGCTGGGATCACAGGTGTACACTAACATGCCTGGCTAACTTTTGTATTTTTTGTAGAGACAGGGTTTTGCCATGTTGCTCAGGCTTAGTCTCAAATGCCTGGACTCAAGCAATCTGTCCACCTTGGCCTCCCAGAGTGCTAGGACTACTGGAACTACAGGTGTGAGCCACCATGCCATACCTGGTAACTCTACATTTAACCTTTTTTTTTTTTTGAGACAGAGTCTCACTCTGTTGCCCAGGCTGGAGTGCAGTGGAGCAAGCTCAGCTCACTGCAACCTCCACCTCCCACTGCAACCTCCACCACCCAAACTGCTGGGATTACAGGTGTAAACCACCATACCCAGCCATGTTTGACATTTTGAGGAGCCATCAAATTGTTTTCCACAGTGGCTATAGCACTTTACTATCCTACCAGCAATGTATGAGAACTCCAATTTCTCCATAAATTCACTGCACTTGTTATTCTCCACCTATTTTATTATAGCCATCCTGGTGGGTGTAAAGTGATACCTCGTTGTGGTTTTTATTTGCATTTCCCTAATGACTAATGATGTTGAGCTTTTTCATGTGCTGATTGACCATTCTTAAAACTCCTTTGGAAAAATGTGTCTTCAGATCCTTTGCCTGTTTTTCGATTGGGTCATGTCTTTTTTGTTGTTGTTGAGTTGTTAAAGATCTTTAAATAGTCTAGACAGAAGTCCCCGACTGGGTATATGATTTGCAAATATTTTCTCCCATCTATGAGCTGTTTTTTTCTTTCTTGCTGGTGTCCTATGAAACACAAAAGTTTTCAATTGAATGAAGTCCAGTTTATCTATTTTTTCTTTTGTTGCTTGTGCTTTTGGTGTGGATCCAAGAAACCACTGCCTGACTCAATGTCACAAAGATTTAGTCTTATGTTTTCTTCAAAGGGATTTTTAGTTTTAGCTCTTACATTTAGATGCATGATCCACTCTGAGTAATTTTTAATATATGGTGTAAGGTAGGGATCCAAACTCATTCTTTTGCATTTGTATGTAGATATTACATTTTGATCCTATTTCTTTTTAACTTGTTCTGTGATATTGTACCTGTTTTCCATAAACCACTTTTTTAAAATTTATTTATTTATTTAGAGACAGGGGTCACACTATGTTGCCCAGGCTGGACTCAAATCCCTGGGCTCAACCTATCCTCTGGCCTCAAACTTCAGGGCAGCTGGAACTACAGGCACATAACGCACAGTTCCACAAATCACCTTTTACACATCTTTGCTGAGACTACACCAAGAGTGATTAAAAAAAAACACCCTAAGTGAAGAAATATTCCATATGAGGAAGTGGTTAGCCCTTCTTTCATTGCCCGTTATCTATAACTCATTTCCCCAATTTTAGTTTTTTCCGCTTTTCTTATATTTTACAATGCAATTTAGTACTTGCTTGATTCGGTCAGTGGTATCTGTACCAATTAGTCCTGCCCTAACCTTCAGCTATTCTATTCTATCCCATTCCTATCTATCTATCTATCTATCTGTCTGTCTATCTATCTATTTAGAGATGAAGTCTCACTCAGTCACACAGGCTGGGGTGCAGTGGTGCAAACTTAGCTCACTGTAGCCTTGAATTCTTGGCCTCCAGAGATCCTCCTGCCTCAGCCTCCTGAGTCTCTGGGATTGCAGTCATGAGCCGTGATGCCTGGCTTTCAGCTATCCAATTTAAAACTTTAATTTGACAAAGACTTTGAGCACCAACAATGTGTCTGTTGATCCTGGGTAAATCAGAGATGAAAAGACAAATGCCCTGCGCTCAGACTATCACAGTTGAGACGGAGAGAGGTCTGGCATGTAAACAAACAATGAGGGAGTATGAACATAATAGGGAAGGAGTGGTTGTGGGAAGGGGGCTGGAAGACCTCATGAAGGGAACAGATTGAGTCAAAGGCTCAGAGCAGGGCCCAGGCAGGAACCAATGTCTGATGCCAGCTGGGTGAGGCCCTTGCTGAGCTGGATACCAGATGCCCCATCTAGAGGAGGCAGTTCCCACTCATCTCCAGCAAATCATATCATTGTAGGTGAACCCAGGAGTGTCAAGAGAAGTTGAAAAAAAATCTCAGCCAGGTACAGTGGTTCACGCCTATAATTCCAGCACTTTAGGAGGCTGAGGTGGGCTGACCACCTGAGGTCAGGAGTTCCAGACCAACCTGACCAACATGGTGAAACCCTGTCTCTACTAAAGATACAAAAATTAGCCAAGCGTGGCAGTAGGCACCTGTAGTCCCAGCTACTCAGGAGGCTGAAGCAGTAGAATCACTTAAACCTGGGAGGCAGAGATTGCAGTGAGCCGAGATGGCGCCACTGCCACTGCACTCCAGCCTGGGCGACAGAGAAAGACTCCACCTCAAAAAAAAAAAAAAAAAAATTGAAAAAAATCTAATTTTTGTGTGAGATTCCTCATTTTTGAAAGTTGTTAATTAATTTGAATTTTTAAAACTCTGTAGTGGGTTCCTCACAAAGCTAAACATAAAATTACCATACAATGTAGCAATTCCACTTCTGGGTATATTCCCCAGAAAATTGAAAACAGGGACTCAAACAAATATTTGTAGGCCAATGTTCACTGCAACCCAAAGTGGAAACAATCCAAGTGTCTTGATTAACTTATCAATAATATGTGATATATCCATACAATGCAATATTCAGCCATTTGAAAAAAAATTAGTTCCAATACATGCTACAACATGGGCGAACCTTGGAAATCTTATGCTAAGCAAAATAAGCCAGCCACAAAAGGATACATATTATCTGATTGTACTTCTGGAAATACCTAGAATAGGCAAATTCATACAGATAGAAATTAGATAAGAGATTAGCAAGGGATGGGGCAGGGAGCGGGTGGAGTTGCCTAGGAGTTCTTGCTTAATGGTACAGTTTCTGCTTGGGGTGATGAAAACGTTTTAGAAATAGACAGTGGTGATGTTTGCACAACATTTGAAATGTTAACTAATGCCACTGCATTGTATACTTAATAATGGTTAAAATGTTATATATATCTAACTGCCAGGCCCAGTGGCTCACGCCTATAATCCCAGCACTCAAGGAGGCCGAGGAGGGAGGATCACTTGGGGTCAGGAGTTTGGGACCAGCCTGGCCAACAAGGCAAAACCCCGTCTTTACTAAAAACACAAAAATTAGGTGGTGTGGTGGTATGCACCTGTAATCCCAGCTACTCGGGAGGCTGAGGCAGGAGAATCACTTGAACCCGGAAGGTGGGGGTTGCAGTGAGCTGAGATCATGCCACTGCACTCTAGCCTGGGTAATAAAGCGAGACTCCATCTCAAAAAAACAAAACAACAACAACGAAAATTAAATGTTGTATATATCTTACTACCAAAAAAACAAAACCAAAAACCTCTAGAGTGGCTAGACAAAACATACCAGGAGTGGCTCTGTGAGCTGTGGGCCAGCAGTCTGGGCCCTTGTGCCCAGGGGTGACAGCCAGCGCCATCTCCACTAAGCCCCTTCAGACTCATGGACCAGCGGTAATGCACAGCTATGTGCTAGACAGTGGAGTGGGGCTGGGGAGGTAGATAAAATTAAAAACACATATTTCCAATCCTTGAGGAGATTAAAGCTGGAAATAGACCTGAGAGTAGTAATACAGCCACGTGCTTTCAGGGGCTTCCAAAAGCATACCTGGAGACATTTGGAGAGGAGACGGCAAGCATCGCACCTGGCTGTGGGGATCGCTGAAGGATTCGTGAAGGCGCTGGTACGTGAGCTGAGCACTGAAGTTCAGATGAGAAGGCAAGGATGCTCCCTGCCTCGGCAGAGGTCTGGGGGAGGAACACAGGGTGTATGTGAGTACGGATCCAGTTTGACTGGAGCAGAGTTCAATTAGAGAAGCAGCTGGATGGAGAGGAGGGGACTGAGATGAGGAGACCAAGCCAAATCGAGGACTTTCCACTTCATTTTGAGCAGAACAAGTGATGTTCTCAAAGCTCTTCCTGAGAATGATGAGCCAGGCATCTGAGAGGAGGCAGGGACCCACTGGAAGGCTAGTGGAGGGGCCAGGACGATGACAGCCAGAAGCTGAAGGCCACAAAGGGAAGGTCCAAATGAGGGCCGAGTCTCTTTCCTACCCGTTTCGCGGGATGGCTCTGATGAGAAAAATGAAAACAATTTCCAAACATTTCACATCTAAGTGCCCCGAATGGTCCCAGGGTTGTCCATTTCACCCATCCCTCGTGCTTTATAATGTTACATAACATGTTTGAAGTAAGTGGGTCGTCCACTGGGATTTAGAATTCGCTGTGATCTGGAGACCTGGTCGTATTTACTGTTTTGACTCCTGGACAAAAAGTGAAACCTTATTTCCACTCAACCTCCTCCTGTGTTCTATCCTCAGGCAGGACACCATCCACACAGCACCCTGTTCTTCATCTTGAATTGCTCTTTTTGGAAATAAGTATATTTGGATGTTTTGTTGCTAAAGCTGCATTCTCCCCGCAGCATCTGTGCTTGGCGGCCACAGGGAAGGGAAAACAGGAACGCCTGGAGGCAGTACATTCCCGTCCTCACCCACACAGGGCATGGCTTCCTAGACGAGTCTCCGAACCTGGATGTCTGCAGTGTCCTGGCACGCTGCTGGTAAGTGACAGACACACGCAGGGCTGCAAGGCTAGGAGCTCCCTCTGTGAGGGAGGAACGAGGACACTTCACAGCTTTCACTTGAGTGGATACAAGAGAATGTTTTGTGAAAGTGGCAACAGAGGTAAAATGGCTTTTTTGCTGTAGAAGTAAAGTGGGACACCCAGCAAGACCCACGCAGTGATTGGGGAATGAGAGCCTCACTGAAGGAAGCCATGCAGCCTGTGGCCTGGCTCTGGTTGAGCAGATGAAGAGTGATCCCTGTCTGAGCCTATTACGGCACTAGGATGGTTTTTCAACTCATGATTGTGTTGCGGGTCAAAGCGGGTAGCTGTGATGAGCCCTGGGCCTGGACCCACGTTAGGGAGTTCAGTGTTGAGGGTAGCGGGCCACCCCCTCCAGTCATGGCCAGCCATCGCTGTGGACCAGCCAACAGGCAGCGGGGCACCTGGCTGAAAAATTATCTCCAGAGGCAAACATTTAACAGCCATGATGTCTTAAATAAATATCACTCTTGCTGAGCAAGGGAAGAAAGAAAAGAATAAACAGAAAAGAGTGGGAAGAAAGAGAAGAGAATGCAGATATGATGATGAGGGGCAGTGTCTCCATCAACACAGAAGCACTGAGCAGCTCCCTGGGGCTAAGCAGGCCCCACCTTCAGATGGGTCCCTAGAGCTAGCAGTGAAGAGTGCCTTCTTCTCCAAATGTGCCTAGGGCTGAATGCAGAGGGGAGCCGAAAGTTCTTCAAGAAACCACGAAGGCTTCACCCTGGCACAGACCCAGAGCAGGAACCCTTTCCTCACTGGCAGTGCCCGCCGCCACATCAGCCTCTCCTCTGCTCGGCAGCCCATAGGGCCCAAGGAGGACACAGAAGCGAGCCATAGAAGAAGGGTGATGGGGAGAGGGAGCCGCCTGACTCACCCCGTCCTCAGTCACTCGGATCACGGGTGGGCAGGCCTGCGGATGATGAATCACTGAGAGCTGTGAACGCTATTCTGAGCTCTGCCAAGAATGCGGGTGCTCTTGTTGGCACCCTGGCACCCTTCACAGTTTCTCTCCTTCCTTGTCTGGCTGCCAGGACACATGCATTGTAGAAACCGGGTATCTGAGTGGGTTTTTTTAGCCCAACATAGAAACCATCTAACTCTTTCTATTCTTCCTGCTTCTTAACCAGTTCTTGGAAGTCACTGATTGGAAACCGGAAGCGAGAGCCACCTCCTTCCCAGCCTAGCTGAGGCAGCCTTGCTGAGAAGCCATTCCAGGGCAGGGCAGAGCTTATGGAATTTACCAAATGAATCACCTGGCTTCGTGTTTGGCTACGTGTCTGAAAGTACCCAAGAAGTATGTCAGTTAAGTTCTAGATTCTGGCCAGGCGCGGTGGCTCACACCTGTAATCCCAGCACTTTGGGAGGCCAAGGCAGGTGGATCACCTGAGGTCAGGAGTTCGAAACCAGCCTGGTCAACATGGTGAAACCATGACTCTACTAAAAATACAAAATTAGCTGGGTGTGATGGCAGGTGCCTGTAATCAGCTACTTGGGGGGCTGAGGCAGGAGAATTGCTTGAACCCTGGGAGTGGAGGTTGCAGTGAGCTGAGATCGCACCACTTCACTCCAGACTGGGCAAAAGAGCAAAATTCCACCTCAAAAAAAAAAAAAAAAAAAAGTTCTAGATTCTATAAGGAAAAATCAGACTGGTCCCTAGAGCTCTGCATAACTGCACAGGACATGAGTTAATTTCTCAATCTATCTGGTTCCCATACAGTCCATGAGAACTTTCATCCACTTTCATCCACAGAAAGAGTTAAGTTCTGTACAGACTAAATCAAACCCACCACGTGCTGCTGGGCTCAGTTACCAGGAATTTAAATAAGAACCTGCCTGTGTAACATCCTCACGCTGCTGTGTATGAAATTGCAAGAGGCTCCACAGGGGAAAGTCAGCTGTCCTCCACCTTCTCATCGTCTTGTGTCACAGACCTTTGGGAAAGGGCATTTGGAAAAGCAAAGATCATGCCTGTATGCCTTAGGAAGATGAAGAGTGTAATACATTCCATTCACAAACATATACTGACTATGAAGAAGGCATTGTGAGAGTTACAGAAATGGAGGCACCTCAAGGAGGTTAAATGTGGTAGGAGAGATAGGATGTGTACACAGATCATTTTAAATAAGCACTGGCCAGGCAAGGTGGCTCACCTGTAATCCCTGCCCTTTGGGAGGCTGAGGCAGGAAGAACACTTTAGGTCAGGAGTTTGAGACTAGCCTGGCCAACATGGTGAAACCCTGTCTCTATTAAAAACACAAAAATTAGCCAGGCATGGTGGCACGTGCCTGCAGTCCCCGCTACTGTGGAGGCTGAGGCAGGAGAATCGCTTGAACCTGGGAGGCAGAGGTTGCAGTGAGCCGAGATCATGCCATTGCACTCCAGCCTGGGCAATAGAGCAAGACTCTGTGTCAAAAAAATAAAAAATAAAATAGCACTGAGTCCTATGTGATACGAAAAAGAATTACCTGGTTTGATGAAAGTTAGGCAGGATTCACGAACCGTGCCTTGGAGAATAAGCACAATTTCCTCCAGGGAAGACACAGAGATGATACTGAAGGTGCAGAGAACTGCCCCATTTTTCTGCAAGGGTGTGGGGAGATAAAATCAGAGTGGTACACGGGGTTTAGACATGCAGTGCCTTAAATGACAGGCTTAGGAGCTTGGGCTTGATCCAGTGGGTGTGGAGAACCCACAAGGCGACAGGGGTGATCCAATCAGAGCTTCCAGAAGCTGGGTCTGGCAGTTGTGGCAAGATGGCTTGAAAGGAAGGGAAACCAGAGATAGGGAACCAGTGTCATAGTTCAGATGGGAACTAGGAAAGACCTGATGAGGGAAGTAACAATGAGAAAAAGAAACTGGTGTGTATAATGTTATGGAGGTGATTAAACAGAGGTCAAATATTCACCAAATGTGAAGAAATGAAAGAGGAAGAGAAAGGCATCAAAATGACTCTGAAACACTCAAAACCACTAGAGGTGGATGCGTTTTTTCAACTAGAGAAAATGATTTGTAGCCGAATTGACTGAGAAGATGACAGTGCCATTAACAGGCATACAGACCTCAAGAGGAAAAAGAGATTTGGGGGCGGTTCTCGCTCGTGAGGGTGAGAGGCCATGGAGATGGCCAGAACACAGTTAAAAACACATCCAAGCGTGATCAGGGCTGGAGAGGGATCTGGGAATCACCCACGTGGCAGTTACAGTGGGAAGCATGGGACACAGCAAAGAAAGGCATCCCAAAGGTGGAACTAACCAAACAAAGACCTACATTGAGAGAATGGAGGAAACAAACAAAATGAGAGAAAGCAAAAAGAACCAGTATTGACTGAGTCACAACCATATGCTTGTGCTAAGGGATTTGCCTATGTTATCTGCAAAGTATTTTTTCCATTTTACAGATGAGAAAACTAAATCTCAGTCTCCTACTTCATCCAACAGCCCAAACTCCATATCGCAAATCCAAGAGTCATTCTCCACAAATCCTCTCCCTCACCTCTCAGTCAATTGCAACACACCTACCTCCTAATCCTTCTTGACTCAATTCCCTTCTTCCAGCCCTACTTTAGAGCCTTACTGTAGGTCCTCAGTTGTTCCCTGCTTAGCCAATAGCTTCCTATCTCCAGGTCTCTCTGTTCCTGGTCTCACCCATTACCAGTCCATCTCCTCTACCACCAAGGGTTCCAACACACAAATCCAGTTCTCACAACACCTTCAGAAGCTAGCAAGGGCCTTGGTGAGGTGGCTCTGCTCACTCTCTGGGATCACCTCAAGCCACTCACTTGCAGGCATCCCATACTGTGGCCTCACAGATCTATCTGTGGCTCACAGAATACAGCTACCTTACCATCTCTACACATGATCCCTCTTTTTCAAGACTATCTCCTGCCAGGCACGGTGGCTCATGCCTCTAATCCCAGCACTTTTGGAGGCCGAGGTGGGCAGATCACCTGAGGTCAGGAGTTCGAGACCAGCCTGACTAACATGGAGAAACCCTGTCTCTGCT